GGGGAAAAGAAGCGTATTAATGATCATCATGATTTGTCCCAGCAGCCGACATGTGTAATGAAATGAAAAGACATCTAGTGGATTGTTTAACACATTGACCAGTAGTGGCTTGAGTACGATGATGTGGTATGATCAACTAGATGGACGAGACTAGACTATTTGAAGATCATGTTGTGTTTTATTCAGGGCCACCAACACTTCTTCTGTAGTCATATACGACATACCAAAGGCCACAGTCATAGGAATCACAGTAATAAGGAATGACCTCATTATTACTCCAACCAACAGGTTACAGTTTCGGCACACCCCAAGCAGACCAGTACGCTGCGCAGGTTCCTCCTCCTCCCACCACTCCAGGAGCTGCGCCTCTGGGTTTCGCCCCTGCGACCACGCCAACTCAGGACCTGAGCAAAGCTCCCACAGGGCAGCCTGACTTCCCTTATAGCCAGTATGGTAAGAATAGCATTGTGCAGTTTGCTGCCCTATTCTCTCCCGTTTCATTGAAACTCACTCCTCCTCGGCCCTGCCTCTCATGTAGGAGTATATCTGCAATCGTTAGACAAGCAGGAGCTTGCTCTTGGTATCGTTTAGCTTGAAATGCTCCACATGCGTACATGCTTCTTGCACACATGAAGGCCTTTGTCCTTTCTGTCAGGTTGTTCCAGCTGGGCTGTGGATTGGTGAAAAGGTTGGTAGGTTAAAATTAGATCATCCTCGCCCTGCTGTTTTTTTTGCGCTTACATTTCCTTTTTGTGCAACCCTTCCCCGAATGCTCGTGAAACCTTATTTCTGGAATTAGGAATGTCCAACCTGCCAAATCAATGGCGAATGTTTTCACACCAGAGGTTTGCGTGTTTGTCTGCCAGGTGTGAACTCTGAGCCTCTGCCGTGTGGGTACATGCAGATATTCCTGATGTGAGTCCCGAGCACGTCATTTTTTGAATAACGTGCCTGCAGGTTGGCGTCTTCGTGGTATTCGAGTTTCATTGTGTTTAGCCGGAATAATTATTCCTCCTGGATCTCGGCCAAACGTCAGCGTGTAGGGACTTGCAAATCAGGCATCGATCGCCGTCGGTTCTGACAGGTACTCGTTCAGTGTCTCTTGCCAGTGCTTCGCTTCCATCCAAGTTTTTTTTTTTTTTTTTAATGTGCGTTGACTGTTCGGACACTTAGTCCGTAGTAGCAACACTCTTAGAAACGTTTTTATGAAATTAACAGAAAAATGTATGAAACTTGGATGATGATTTAGAGACAAATCCCACACCTCTACCGTTAAAGTTTATATAACAATAGTGTAATAATTACTGTGTAATATCAGTAAATGGTTAAAGTTTAACAAATTCTGGCTCATGTGGAGTTAAGCAATCGAAAGAAAAGAGATCAAACTAGTAGTTTTAATTTAAAGAATATTGGACCCAAGGGCATCACATATATTATTAATTATTTTCACCTTCCATGCAGGCCCTTTACTTTTATTAAACTGTGTCACAATAACCGTTAGGTTTGTCAAAACCCTCTTGGTACATTCAAAAACATTGTGACATTGGAAATTTGGGAATGGACCGCTGAGAAGTGTCATTGTGCTTCACTTCATTGCCATCAGCAATGTGACGGTTTTACATTTGTTTCTCCTTGCGTCACTCTCATAACATCTTATCGACAGAACATTTCCCACGTTAACTGCATCTTGGCATATCACGCACATTTCACAAAATGTCATGAACCTAAACTAACATGATTTTACGAGGTCAGGAATGCTCGCAGATGGCTCAGACATTCGCCCTCCATTTTGTTTTGGCTTGGGAGCAAAGCTGAGCAGTGATGCCTCTCAGAGCGCAGTGCAGGCGCAGTGATTGAGAGCAAGTGTGAGGCTCTGTTAGGTCAGTGAGGGGGGGGCTCTGTAGTTGGGTTCAGTCAACCTGGTCTCCTCATCTCCCTGATAGGCTTGGGTAACTACCTTCAGGACCCTTCTGCCTACGGACCAACGCGTCCTTCTCACAGTTATGGTCAGGATGAGCAGAGAGGATGTAGTGCAGGTAGGTGCCAGCATCGTCTTCTCAAACCACAAAAGTAGCATCTGTTCAGTTCTGTAGTCTTTTTTTTTTATAGAGCTGCCACCTGGTTCTTTTCCTCGTTGGTTTTGCTCCGTGTTTTTAATTTGCACGAACATACGAATTACTGTGTGTACTCTTGTACAGTAAAACGCAGCCACAGCAGTCCGCTGAGAGCATTTAATTCATTGACATTTGGAATACAGAGGTATAAACAGTCATCTTCCTCAGCAGCTGTAGCTTTACTATACAAAGACAAACCATGTCCTCCTCTTTTGTCCACTCGCTCTGTCCGCATTGCTTTGCAGAGGATAAAAGGATGATCTAATCGTCAGAAATGTTTTTCATGGTTCAGTTGTCTCTCTGCATCAGCAGTCCATTCACCCATTGTCTTTTCCCCATGCACTGTCTCCACATTATAGCTGAAGGGATGAGAAAGAAAAGGAGATTTAAAGGAGGATACGACTGCAGTAAATTTCCAATTTCACTCTCTTCTATGGGGTGATCCTGTTAGGACAGCTCCCTCTTCTACAGATTAATTATTTTTGTTCTGTTCATGGAGAAACGTGTGGTATTTTCTAACTTCACACTTTTCTTTCTTTCTTCCTGTCTCTTGTCTTTCCATTCCAGTTATTTAAAATGTCCTCCACTCGGGTATTTATTGTTGATATTTCAGAATCAGTGCTGACTGGCTGATTCCAGGGCAGGAAACTAACCAGCAAGATTCTGAAAAGATTAGGCTGCAGCTGGTGTTCAAATTCTACCAGCGAGAAACTCATTTTTGTTTGGTGAATTTTGGGTTTCGCCAGCTTTTAGTTGGTTACTTTCCTTCCCCAGGTTGCTCTTGGGTTTGCTTGTTTGTAAATCAATAAAAAATAAGTACATCTTTTAGATCACACAATATATGCAAGAATTTGTTTTATCGAGTCATAATATAATTACTGAACAAGTCAAAACAAGCTGTTCTACCAGTTGAAACCCGGCATCAAAGTCTGGTTATAAAGTAAACGCTTGGACAAAATGGAGTTTAACAAGAAAGGCAGCATGATGATCATTGTGACGTACCAACTTTACTTAGTTGTAGTTGTGCAGCACATTAAACTGTAAGAAAAATAACTATTGGACTCTTTAGCAAAAGGCTCAGAGGTGGATTGTTTCCGAAAGGAATACTTTTCCTACAAGATGACATTCCATATCAGTTATTCACCGTGCGTTGAATTCTTGAAAAGTCTTGATGATTTTCAAGTAACAACCTCAAAACTAAACCAAATAATTTGTTTCCAAACTTGCATAACTTGTGCAGTATAATAATTGGATATTAGTAAAACAATAAGTATGTGTTTGCGAAGTCCTGTGGATACAACTGGATAAAAAAAAATACTTAAGTAGTAATCTTTGAAGATTTAAATAGTTTTTCATCTAGTAGTAATTCTTAAGCAGTAAGGCATCTACCTAAGCAGCGTCCGGTGACCTCGCCATTGAACTCTTCTTCTCTTCCTCCCGCTCCCTCCCCTCTGTTGACCTCCTCAGGGTACGGCCAGGAACTGACCGCCTTCAGTCACGCCTTCGCGGACCCCAGCCAGCCGACTGCTTCGTACGGGGCCCCGACTGCACAGCCCGCGGCCGGCCCCCAGCCTGCTGCCACTGCGTTCGGAAGAGGGCAGAACCACAACGTACAGGGCTTCCACCCATATCGGCGCTGACCCTTCCCGCCGCTGGCAGGGGGGGGAGGGGGAGGACGGAGGGGGGCGCGGTTGTGTAAAGTTTTAAAACAAACAGACAAAAAAAAAAAAAAAGTCAGGGAAATGTGTGTTCTCGCTAAAAAGCAAAACTGGAGTTCTGGATCGTTCTGTGGCAATATTGAATGCACGCAGTTTGTGAAAGCAGGAATTTCAGTAAATTCAAAAGGGGGTCTAAAGATCCCAGTTTTTTTTTGCATAACTTAATGAACATTCAGCAGAGAGCTTTTATCCCCCTACCCCCAACCCCGTGTTTTATAGTAGAACTTAACTACTTTGCAATAATTTAGATTGTCTGGTCAAACACTAGCACAGAGACTATATGTAAAGAGACTTGCATATAAATATGTATATTTATGGTGGACACAAATGAAAACAGGGTCTCAAGTTTCCTCAGCTTTAAATTCTAGGGAAAAAATGTTTTTATTTTTCATTTGGTGGATTTTGTTTACTTTCTGAGCCTTTAAAGTTTGTTTAAAATGGAGATTATGAATATATATTATACACAAACTGTGCAATTTTTTAAAAAGAGAATTTTGTACTATAAATGTACACTTTGCTTGTTTTTTTATTTAAAGATGTAGACTTCCCTCAGGTGGCTCTTTTGGGTGCATTTTTTGCACTTACGCAAAAAGAAAAAAAGGACAAATTATTACAAAAATAAATGTTTTAAGGATACAGTGTCCCAGATGTTTGTTGATGTTGATTTGGTTGTGGTTGTATTTGCTTCTTTTTTTTGGTGGAATACCTACAAAGTCAAGCTGAATCAATCATTTGAGTCAGCCTTTGGTAAATTAATAAGAAATCTATCTTTTGATGGATGAATTGTTGACGTGGTTCATTCGCAATGGTATCAACAAAAATGTAGTGGTTGCATCTCCCATTGTAATATTTACAGCCTTTCTGTGAATTTATTATGAAGTAATGATCAGACGAAACGGAATATCTGTAGCTTTCTAGACTTAAAGCTGTTAAAACCTTATGCACATTTAACATGTTTTAAAGAAATCTTAACAAACCGGATGAATTATTAAAAGTCATTAGTTGCAGTCTTTATGCTAAAATAGGAGTCAATTGTAATTAATGTTTAGAGTTTAGAACATTTTTGTGTTCTATTCCTACGCACTATCCTCTATGGGTTGTTTAAAAAACAATAATTGTAAATCTGTTTCCACTTTCTGCGATAGTGTAACGGAACACAACATCCGGGTCAAAGGTCGTAATCTTGATTTCTCAACCTACTTCCGCGTTATATGCGTATTAGCATTAAGCTAACATCCACCTGTACGGTAACGTTCATTGAAATCTGTAATTTATTAAATTCCGGACCGTTGTATCCAACACCGATGTTTCTTCGACAAAAGGAGAAAGGCTTTCGAGGTTTTGGGGCAGAACGTGTAAGCTAAAAATGAACGACTGTCTTCTGTTTTGACATGTTAGCCTGCTAAACGGCGACGAGCGGCTAACTGGTTAGCTCCGAGCCGCGTAAAGGAACAACGTTACACAGGATGTTAATTACAGACTAAGTGCTGTTGGTCCCGCATGATGGACACACAGCGTCGGTGTGTCGGAGAAGTTGTGTGGACTTTAGCGTCGTTACCGCTGGCGGAGGCGTTTTAAACGAAGCTGACACACATTTTGTCATTTAACATGGATGCTCGAAGACAAACTTGCATTATAATAATAATAATAATAGTATTAAATTGGGACATTGATTTAGTCGTTATACCTTTAAACGAGTTATAACACGTTTCTTTTTACTTTCAGTTAATACACTTTGCATGGCACTGAAAAGGCCATGACAGCTGTGAGAACATAACAAGGACTTCAGTGGGAAGGGGATAATTAACTAATATTTAACAATTTCCCCCAATCATTTTTATGTATGGCCTCATCGTTTAAGCTAAACATAGTCAGTAGTAATTAAGTAAATAAATGAATAGTTTTTCAGACAGCATTTCAACATCAAAATATGTATTATAAAAGTATACCTTAAATAATTGAATACCATGAAATCCTATTTAGTCTTTAGTTTGGAAGAAAATGAAACTCATTCAACAGATTTCTACAGAGTATTAAAGCCCGTCTCACAGCGGATCAATGGATGCAGTTTGATCACCTGGATGGTTGTATATTGGCTTCAATGGAAGAGTAAACCTTTATGTTGTAGTTAGTCTGTTTTCTTGCATTACACTTCGTTCATATCAAATTTACGCAGACAATATTTGTGTTTCTCTCGACACATAAACTGTTAATGGGAAATGAACTTCGGAAGAATTTGCACGTCAGTTATTATCAGGTCAACGGAACAGCCTACAGTAAAATGTGGAGGGACGGTGTAATATTTGCCACAGTTATGACACAGACGTTGACGCGTCATGCAGCTCAGTGAGAACACAGCTCTAAGTGTGTCTGCGTTTATCAGCTGAAGAGCAGCAGCTCCACAATGAAGCGGCAGAGAGACATCGAGGGCCATCTTTTCAGTAACAGATTCCCCTTTTATAGCATGGGAGCTTAGCTTGAGGCATTATCTGTTTGTTTTCCTCACATATTCAGAACTGTCAAAGGGGTCTATTTGTCAGTCAGACCAGTTGCTGCCATGTAACAAAATTCATCTGTTTTAGCTGTTTGACATCCTCAGTTCTTATGATTTCAACCTGGTTTCCCACAGGGTGTCGGTGCTGGTCCTGGGTCGTTGAACAGTTAATGCACAGAGTAAAGAGGCTGAAAACTGAAGACAAAACGGAAGACGGACAGGAACGGTAGGGGACGCTTAACCCGACAGCTGGCAGAACTTGTTATTTGGTTTTCGTTTTCCTTCATTTTTGTTTGAACTATATTTCTTTCCAAAGATGCACAGATGCAATTTTCTTGGCTGATTCAGATTTTTTTGTTAAATAGTTGACTATACTTTGCTATTCCCATTCCCATGCTTTTCCCATGTTGGTCATTTGCATAGATCACATAATCTAAAATGTCCTTGGATATATGCATGTTTCTCGCCATAAGTAAATTTGACAAGATTTGTTTTCAACACATGATCATTTTGATGTCTCTTTTTCAACAGTGCAGTTTGTGTAGTTTATCTACTCACTATTTTCCCCTTAATGCCTCTTTCTCCTCACAGAGATTGTGTTACTTATGCTGCATGTCCGGTCTCATTGTTCAACAAGTGTGTTGGTGCATGTTCAATCTGTCACACATTCATCGCAAGATCGCCATCCATAGTTGCTCGCTGCCATCTTTACAACATTAAACAATTTCTTTAATATGTTTTGACCCTGTTATCCTATGCCTACGTTATATGATGACCAGACCAGTACATTGTCTGTTTTTTTGTTGGAACGTCTGGTTTTAGTTTGATATCAAATAAACTATCCCCTGATCGTCACTTTGCCATTATGATGTTTAGTGTTGAAGGTATCTGAGTAGTCTGAGTCCTGTCCACAGCATCAGGCAGGCGTTGGCAGGCATGACCGGGGTGGACGAGCTCTCGGACAGCACAGAGGTGGTGGAGATGGAGGATGTGAATCCCACCCACTTCCAGGTGGCGAAGCACTCGTGGGACGGCCTGCGGAAGATCATCCACAACAGCCGCAAGAACACGGGTGTGGTTATCAACAAGGCGCCGCACGACTTCCAGTTCATCCAGAAGGACGAGACCAGTCCGCACTCCCACCGCATCTTCTACCTCGGTGAGCTTGGGAACCCAAAAGTCACAGTCCTTGGAATATGTGCTCATTTTCAGGCCACTTTGCCTCGTCACACAAGCCCCGCTGCTGCTCTTTGCCGCCGCGTCTCAAGCGGTTATGTGTAGTGTGCGGTGGCATTTCCAGAGCCCCGTAGGACCTGCACGCGAGGCAGCTCGGTTGTCTTCTAAGCATCTCTTCCCTCACAGGAATGCCTTACGCCAGCCGGGATAATGCTTTACTCTACTCCGACATTCCTAAGAAGATCCGCAAAGATGCTCTGTTTGTTTTGTCATGGAAGAAGTTGCTGGATTGCTTTCAGGTGAGAAGGATTTTCAGCTCACATCTTGACACTTTATTGTGATTGAGCCCATCCAAACGAGATTTAATAATTCTTGATTACGAGCCAGCTTTCATAAGAGCGCCGTTCCTCGTGGAGACCGCTTGATTTCCTAAACAAAATTAGTTTTTGCTGAAGAGAGAGGGAGCCGATAAGAGGCTATTTCTATTGGTACATAGCATTTCTCTGTGCCATTCAGTTTGGTAATGTTTTCTTACATTGTATGTCCTCCTGTGACCCCTGACCTCAGGCCAGCCCTCATCATGGAGGCTTCTCGCGGGAGGAGGAGCTGCTGCGAGAGAGGAAGCGCTTGGGGGTGTCTGGCATCACCTCTTACGATTACCACCGGCCCAGCGGCCTCTTCTTGTTCCAGGCCAACAGCAGTCTGTACTATTGCCGTGACGGCGGAAACAACACCTTCACTGTGAGTTGAAGAACAGTAAAACAAGGCTTTCAGGGCCACGCAACAGAGTATCACAGTATGACTAAGAGCTTAAAAGGACAATTTCAGGGTTCGTCAGATGATCTCACATGTATCTATATTGGTGTATATGTCATATGCAAGTAGTTACAATACAGAAAGAAAAGCAAAGGTATAGTTGAGGTCATCTGGTAACTGGATTTCATTAGTTTTTTTTTCAAATGTGCGATTTGCCATCACCAAAAATAGGGGATCTGTTTTCTGTTGTGATTTTCTGAAGTATTTTGCCAAAGAAGTAGCAGAATCATCTCACCTAAATAGGTAAAACTAGGTCCTTTTTAAAAAAGAAAAAAATTGGAAAGGAATGAAAGCTGCATTGTTTTAAAACAATACGTTCCTCGAGTCACAATCCTGTTCCTGCTTGATAAAATCATCCCGAACATCTGTTTATTCCAAAAACACTACATCTCCGTTCAAAAGGTCATAACCTCATTAGCTTTCCCAACAAATACCACTTTAATATTAGCAATGGGCGGTATTGAGGTATTACAATGCACCAATGTATTTAAACAAATACAGAGAGGCTGTTTTGAGGCGATCAACGACAGTTCACAGCTCACACCACCAGATGTCAGTCTCTGCTGGGCCGAGAAAGATGGCTACCACGAGTAGTTGGAGACTTCTCGTCTCGGTCAGATTCTGCAATAAGAAATGAGTTGGTGTTTTTAAGACTTCTTACGCCTGTTTATAACAAAGAACTACAGCAGCTGTGACCTCAGATGTCTTTTGACGTCTTTGTTTGTGCAGACTTCTCCGGTGGAGCCTGTTGAAATTAAGAGCCAGAGTTCGGGCACACGCATGGACCCCAAGATCTGCCCTGGGGACCCCAACTTCATTGGTTTCGTCAACAACAACGACATTTGGGTGACCAGCATTGAGACTGGCGAAGAGAGGAGGCTCACCTTCTGCCACAAAGGTCCGGATTGAGACAGTCCGATGCCGCAACGAGTCTGATGCTAGTTTTCACAAAGTGTTTTTTATTTTGCATTTTAGGTATTGATAATCCAAAAGAAGACACCAAATCCGCCGGTGTTGCCACCTTTGTCACGCAGGAAGAGTTTGACCGTTTCACCGGATACTGGTGGTCACCAGCTGCTTGTGAAGGTAAACGATAAATACAGATATTTGATGTATTAAATACTTGAGTAACACAGAGTTACTTGTATAAAAAAACAAAACTTTTATCTGGTTTCTCTCCGATCCAGAATCCGATGGTGGTAAGACTCTACAGATTCTTTACGAGGAAGTGGATGAATCCAAAGTTGAGATCATTCATGTTCCATCTCCGGCTTTGGAGGAGCGAAAGACCGACGTCTACAGATACCCACGCGCAGGTATACCCCTGCCCAGCAAAGCTTTTGATTTATACATACATATACATTTCAATTATCATTTTTTGTTTCCTGCTTTTGTGTGATAAAAATAAATATGCATTCGGCAAGTTGTTTTTAAGGATGCCCTCATGAGTTTTCTTGACATAGAACGTTAAAAATGTTAGGATAAAAGAATTGGCTACGGACACAAAGACTCGCTCAGTCAAAACAGCAGCTGGAGTTCTATGGGAAAGGCATCCTGTGGACTTTTATGTTGATGCCCCACTGCGTTTTGTTTTGTATTCAGGCAGCAAGAATCCGGATATTAGTCTCAAAATTGCAGAAATCCGGACAGACCACCACGGCAAAGTGAGAGCTTGTTCAGCGGCATGAAACCACGTTCAGCGGAAAGTTTTTCAGAGACGAAGTTGCCAGCTGCTTTTTCTTTCTCCCTCAGATTGTCAGCGCGCAGGAGAAGGAGTTGCCTGTTCCCTTCACCACCCTGTTCCCATGTGCAGAATATATTACCAGAGCCGGATGGACAAAAGACGGCAGATAGTATGTTTATTCTAAAAAGTAGTCTTCAAAGCAAACATTTAGTAGCACGTAGTCACAGCTCCTCCTCTCTGTGCGTCAGTGCTTGGGCGGTGATGATGGAGCGACGGCAGCAGCGTCTCCAGTTGGTGCTGCTGCCTCCGGCGCTCTTCGTCCCGGTGAACCAGGACGTAGTCAAAAGGCAGGAGAGCCTAGAGGCCCTCGGAGACACCGTGCATCCCTTCATCATCTACCAGGAGACCTGCGACATCTGGATCAATGTAACGCCTGGGACCTATTTGTTCAAGGGCGTTGTTTACAATCCTGCCGAAAATAGTGCAGCCTTCAATGGAAAAAGCACATTGTGATTTGTCTTTCAGGTGCACGACATCTTTCACCCTTTTATCCAGACCAGTGATGATGAGATCAGCTTCATAGCAGTAAATGAATCAAAAACAGGGTTCTGTCACCTGTATAAGATCACCACAGAGTTACAGCAGGGCAGCTACAACTGGGCCACAGGATACACGCCCTCTGAAGGTAACACCATCACAAGCCCGCACACAATGCAGGTGATGAATTGTCCCCCGAGACGATATCAACACTTTAATGGATGAATTCAGGGAAGTTATGTATTCATTCATATTTGAAATTAACAAAAAATAGATCATAGGAAACCTTATATTTTCAGTCTATAATTTAATCCAACCATACTGTACCCCAATAATATATTAACTTAAAAATCCCAATTCAATTGAATCAGTTTTGGACAATATTCTTAGTTGTTTTTTCACATATGAACCACAAAGGTTTTTTTTCTCTTCCAGTTTCAGACTTTCTATTCTGTTTAGAACGGTCTCATTTCGTCCTCCATCGATCTGTTAGTTTATGCACCCTTCTTCTTCTGTCCCCTATCGCTAGATGATTTCAAGTGTCCAGTCAAAGAGGAGGTCACCATAACCAGCGGGGAGTGGGAGGTGCTGGCTAATCACGGATCGAAGGTAAGGCGCTGCTGACACGTGGGTTCAAGGTGGCTGGCGTTTAACTGGATACGGCACAGGTGCTCTCCTCCATGTGCTGTAAATGTCACCAAGGAGAAGCACTAACGTGGTTCAATGGTTTCTTCTTCAGGGCCCCTGCTTCAAGAAGCGAAATGAAATAAAGGCCTTAATAATTCTGGAAATACAACAAAAGCGTGATCAATGAATGCAAACCGTGTCAGTTGTATGCAGTTTTAGTTATATGTAGTTATTTTCTGTCCCAGCAATACACTCTTTTAAAAGAGTTTTGAGCCCCAAGCTCAGTTATATTTATTTGTTTATGCTCCAATAAAAGAGCCTATTTCTATCTGTTGTTTTGGGATTTTTTTGCAGCGTTCATCGAGTCCTCAGATTTGGGTGGACGAGACAGCGAAGCTGGTGTACTTCCAGGGAACCAAAGACTCTCCTCTGGAGCATCACCTTTATGTTGTGAGCTACGACTCGCCGGGAGAAATTGTCCGACTCACAAAACCCGGCTTCTCCCACAGCTGCTCAGTGAGCCAGGTGTGTAACACATACACACACACACACACACACACACACACACATCAGTGATGCCTGGACCAACTCTAACGTCATCCAAATGCACATGAATCATCCACATAATTGTTATTTTCTCTGACTTCGAGACCTGCACAGACTTTTCACTCCACTTCTATTAGTCCATGCAACCTCTGTTGCTTTTTAAATGCTGTATTACTTTGACGTATAATGCATTAGAGGTGCCGCTTTCAGTCATTGCTAACGTTTCCCTGCTCTAAATACAGCGACACATTTAGGTACTGACCAAAGTTACAAACTCGGAACCACAACTAAATTACATATTTGACCGATTATCACTCATCTTTTAATTCATTTTGTAATAATTCATTTTTATCATTATCATTGAACGTAGATGTGATGGAGGCATCAATACATTGTTTGCAGACCTCAAGCAGACTTTACACTGTACTTTAAGTCTATTTCATGTGTTCGGTTGTCTCTAGACGGGTGTCTAGATGCTCACAATAAACGTATTGAAACCCTATGGTTTGTTCCTGCATTAGTTAATAATTAGTAATAATTAATTAGTTAGTTAGTTATTAGTTAGAAATCAAGTGTGAGCAGAGATATAACATCTAAGGGATTCATTCTAAGGATGTATTGTGTGACATTTGCAATTTCTCTTCATACAGACCTTTGACATGTTTGTCAGCCACTACAGCAGCTTGACCACTGCACCCTGTGTGCACATCTACAAGCTGCAGGGCTCGGACGACGACCCGCTGCATAAAGGGCCTCAATTTTGGGCGAGCATGATGGAGTCCTCCGGTAACCTAACCCCTAACCCGTTTAAAGATTGCACTCGTATCCACTGACTCAAACTGAGTTTCAGACTCGTGTTCTTTTCCAGGTTTCCCCGTTGACTCCACACCTCCGGAGATCTTCAGCTTCACAGGGAAGTCGGGCTTCGAGTTGTACGGCATGTTGTACAAACCCCACCACCTGGTGCCCGGCAGGAAACACCCAGCCGTCGTCTTCGTTTACGGCGGCCCGCAGGTTTGATCCCCCCCCCCTCACTGCAGCTGCCACAGTAGATTCATGTCATGCACTTAAATGAGTAGATTTTATATTTTACTGATGAGGTGCAATGCAAACAGGGATCTGCCTTATGACTTTAATGATATCAACGTTACACTCAGCGTCTAACCATGTTTTCTTTCTCCTCCAGGTGCAGTTAGTGAATAACTCTTATAAAGGAGTGAAGTACCTGCGGCTGAGCACGCTGGCTTCCCTGGGCTACGCCGTGCTGGTCATCGATGGACGAGGCTCCTGTCAGCGGGGACTCGCGTTTGAAGGAGCTGTGAAAGACAAAATGGTGGTTAACACATTAGTGACCTGTCGCTCGCGCAAAAAGACTCACACAAGAGTATTTTATTTATGTTTTACTCAAAAAGAGAAAATTAAGTAGTTTACTATCAATGAAAGTTGGTGTTTTATGACGACATTGGACAATAACATAGCCATCTTTTAGTTATGCTATTATCTTACTCTGAACTAGAATTCACATTTAACGTTAGTTGCAGATGTCATCACTTTATTTTATTTCCATTTGATTTAGTTTTCAGTTTAAGAACTTGTAGTCAAGTAGTGTGTGCATATTTCATGTAGAGGAATGGTATTTCATTGCCATGTGACTAACCTAGCAGTTCTCCTCCAATCAGGGTCAGGTGGAGATCGACGACCAGGTGGAGGGTTTACACTACGTTGCTGAAAAGTACAAGTTCGTGGATCTGAGTCGTGTTGCCATCCACGGCTGGTCATACGGAGGCTTCCTCTCCCTAATGGGCCTCATCCACAAACCGGACATCTTCAAGGTCAAAGCAACTAACGTTTACTCTCTTATTGTGATGGAGGGGGAGCCGTTTGTGAGCATGTATGAGACTTCAAGGCTTGCTTTTTGCTCAACGTGACTAATGGCAATGTTTTTTTTATTATATATTTATGTATTCTGTATATTATATATTGCTGTAGCTACGGAAACAAGTGGGTCAAGTGAGCAGCATTAATATCGCGATACTTTCACTGAAAGAGCTATTTTTTGTCCCTGACAGGCTCTGATATAATGATGACTACATAATGAAAGAACTCTAAAGTCTTCCGCAACCTACAAACTGTATTTCACATTGTTCCCCAGGAAGGAAAATGTTTAAAAAGTGCAGCTTTCAGATCATTTTGTATGACTTTCATTTACTGCTAATGTATCAAATGGATTCTTAAATCTGGAAATGTATAACTGCATCGGTCTGACTCCCTCTTAATGTTTTTTCCAGGTTGCCATTGCAGGAGCTCCAGTGACGTTGTGGATGGCCTACGACACCGGCTACACAGAGCGATACCTGGACACACCTGAGAAAAACCAGAAAGGATACGAGGCTTGTTCTGTTGCCCTGCATGTCGACAAACTCCCCAATGAGTAAGAGCAGTCATATTATATTATACTTTATTTGTCTAAATAGGCGTTCTTTTGTCTTTAATGTCACAGAATAACACAGATTACAGTTTATAAATAGGTTGAAAATGAAATGTTGATTTCAAAGAATGATGTACTGTCTCTATTCATGTTACACGCGGTATCAGTTTTGTTTGCCTGTGAACAATGGCACAGAAACTAAGAGTTGCATCTCTCTGTCCAAAGGCCCAACCGATTACTGATCCTGCACGGGTTTCTGGATGAGAATGTGCACTTTTTTCACACAAACTTCTTGGTGTCTCAACTCATCCGGGCAGGAAAGCCTTACAACCTCCAGGTGAGCTGATTGACGTATGTACACGCTGGCTTTAGTGTGAGGGGGTCGAAACTCCCGCAATACTTAAGATTAAAGAGCAACGTTGTCATGGCGCAATGCGCTTGGCCTTCATCGTACTTTACGTAAGTAAGTTTGTTTGTTCGCTCTTAATGAATTAAAACCAGGTCATCCGGTGGGCTGAACAGGACTGCGTTCCACCATTGAGTTTGACACCTATGCATTAAACAATCCAGCAGATCATTGATGATTGGATGTGGGGGTTTTTCTTTTTGTTTTCTTTATTTCTAGATTTATCCCAACGAGCGACACAGCATCCGATGTCCAGAGTCTGGGGAACATTACGAGATTACGCTGCTGCACTTCCTCCAGCAGAACCTCTGATAAGCCCGGCTGCACACTGCTCGTCCTCTCCTTGTCTCTACTCTCTTTCCTTCTTTTATTCAAACCTACATCATCTTATCCTTTCACTTAATTTTACATTATGCTGACAAAGAAAGTTTGGCCAAACCTCATCACACCTCAAGACTCGACGGCCTTAAAGGTGCTGAAGCGTTTTAGCATCAATTAATCATTACATTGTCCGTTTTAGAATCATCAACAAAAATGAGCCAATGGCTGAGAGCAAGAATTATTGCGGTCCACACTGTAAACTGTAAACAGACAAGCCAAAAACAAACCGAGGGTTCGTCCTGAACAAACAGGGCTTAGGCTTTAGCACACACTTGAACAAATATATAAAAAAGTACAATGTCACCGATGTTTAGACAGAACGTTGTCAGCAATGCAACAAGAGCAGAAGTGGAGCAGCCGCTCTCAGTTTTAGTATTTTTCCCTTTACGATTCCTTTTTTTTATTTTTATTGAACTCTCCTCTTTGATGTTCCTCCAGGATCGTTTTCTTGTGTCTGTGAATAAACACTGGAGTGATGTTGGCAAACGTAAAGCTCTATAAGAGCATACAAGCAAGCTATTGCGTCCCCTTGTGGTAAACTCTGTGCCCTCATGTACTTCTCCCCATTGTTTTGTTTAGTGTCTAGAAAATATTTGTATGAATCCTTAATGCATTCATAAAAGGTTGAAGTATGGAGCGACCTGTTGCTGTTTCACCCGCTCACTCAATCACTCACTCAATCACTCGCTTGCCTAAATTTTGTGGGGAGCTTCTTTTTTTCTTCTTCTGCTTCTGCTGAGGAATTTTGCACATATTACGTATATTTGCCTTGGTGACAACAAAGTGACCTATGACATGATGTATGACACAACTGTTTGCAGTCTGAGGTGCCTTCCTCGTAGAGTAAATATCAGGGAAACTGTCTGAGGACCTACGACAATAAAATGCCTTGTTACGCATTTGCCTGACGACCATCTGTAAGATGAGCTGCCGTGACCTCTTGGAGGTTTAGTGCACTCTCGGATATTGAAGAAATAAGAAGTTTTAAGTCTTGCCAATTGAAAAGTAGTATTTCAACGTAAATCTTTTTGTGGTATGATATCTGTAGATTCCTCTCGGGGTTCAGGAAGTTGGTAGATATTTGAGTTTAGGGTGCAGAAGATGAAGGAATAACATGATAACAAAAAAACATGAAATCAAACCGCATGGAAAATATTATTTTGGTTGTCAATTATGGTTGAGAGACTCTTCCCAACATGATATCAAAAGGGAAATAATACTAACCCCAAAATCCCAAAGACTGTTAATCACCCTCCATCACTCAAGTAACAAAGTGAAAACCACTCGAAAAAATCAGCTCACGTCAGAAAGACAAACATTTTACTTTTCCATTCATCTAATCCTGATACAAAAATACAGGTGTGAGTTTTCCATCTGAATTTGACACATCTGTGATCTTTGTCATTTCCCCAGCAGGGAGCAGCAGTAGTAAAGAAATCATAATGAACCCCTTTGTCAACACTCATGAGATGTTAAACAAACATCACACTCTGTGCCAAGTATTTTAATGTAATAATGAATAAACAAGGATTCATTAAACTTTTACTTCTTTTTTTATTCTCATCCACTTCATAAAAATGAAACATCAAAAGTGTATTAATGATGAAGATAATACGTTATATATTTAAGTAGAACTAACTTAAAACACATACATTAAGCATTACAAAATAAAATCAAGAAGCCCTCATAAAGGGTATAAATAATTGTCAATATGACTGAACGTGTCCACTGTGACGCGTATTGATCCGTATGGCACAGCATAGAAGTATCTGATGACCCGCTGCTTGGTGGAGAGATCATCAATTAGAGTCAATAGTCACGCTTTCTTCGATCTGCTTATTATTTCATTGTGGCGGGGGCAATCTTCAGAAGGGTGCCTTTCAAAGGGGCGTCCTGTCCCCTTGCGGACGTCCAGAACAGCGCTTGTCTTCTGGGCTGCCGCCGCCTGTGCTCGCACTGCCTTCTGGGATATCTCCCATTGAGGTTGGCCCCCCCGCAGTCACTGAACCACCAACCACCTGTAACGAAACAAATAAAAGAGCGTTTTTAGGCTTCATTTGTTTGTTTGTTTTTGTCCGGTAGAAGCCAATCAGACGGCCCGTACGTGTGTGAGGTGTCGGTGGATCTGTCGTACCTGAGAGCAGCGCAGCGCAGTTTCCGTCTGAAGCCAGGTCGTTGTCTCTGTCCGCCGTGGAAAAGGGAAGACCGGATTCTTCGGGTGTCGCCATTGTCTCCTCGGCCCCAGGCGAGGCCTCCTGCTCCAGGTGGAGAGCAAACTTCTCCTCCTCCCCATCAAGTCGGAACCGGTATCGGGCCTCGAGGCGCCGCTGTCCTGCGCAGTCGGACAGCTCCACCTGCAGAACGTGTTGGCCTTGGCTGGAGAGAGCCCGGATGTTTTCCAAGCCCAACCAGAACTCACCTGGAGGGAAGACAGGCGTTGAGATTACTCCACCGCTCAGGTACAGGGATGCAGTTATTTTTAAAAAATGCTTCCATGAGCAAAGCTTCCTTACCGTTCAGGTTGCCGAAGCCTTTCTTGTAGCTTTCCCACAGCTGGTTGAAGTTCTCGGATCCATCGTGGCGTTTCTGGATCACGGTCCATCCACCTTCTGCAAAGAGAGAAACGGAGAATATTGAGCTATTACACAAAAAGTCTTATTACACAAAAACACTTTGTATTGACGCTAGAGTGTAAATGGAAAAACATAAAAGCTGCTCACATTGCTTTCTAGTCCCTAATCGCTGACATGTGCAACCTTTTAAACAATCATTTCTCCTCTTAGGGAGAGTTTTCTGACTATAATTCAAGGATCTTATGGCAAAGCGCCCGTGTGACTCACCTGAAGTCATTTCACAGAAGACGTTGAAGGGCTGGGAGTTCTGCGGCTGTATTTTGTAGACGCCGCTGACTTGCTTTCCCCGTAAAAACAGATGGTGACAGTCTCTGGCCAAACCTGAGAGGTGCCAGAGCAAAGAATAATGATCAGACGATTGAGGTTTTTGTTCAATCGATCGGGCTGAGGCTTGATTTTTGGACATTTAAATCAATACATCGGCGTTGTTGATGAATCTGATTTTATGTCACACCTTTTGAAGTTTTTTTCTATCTTGTATCTTTGAGTTCTTCCTGTTCTACAAATGTACAGTACAGAAGCTGCTTTTTTCACTTTCTCCTGATCTTTGGACTGTCTGGGAACTGCTCTGCCAGCGAGTCAAGTGTTACATATTCAGGTGCAAAGGTCATTTCTCTTGTTGTGTTGCTTCAAGATGAATGAATAGCTCCTGTGTTCTCTCTCTGCAAATTGGTGCAACCTGAGTGATGTTTGCCGAACTGCCGGCTGAAAGTTTTTTTAATATAACCGCTTATTTTGGATTTTTCTGTCGTTCCCCTGAGAGCGATTTATTTTCTTCTTTTTTTTCTCCATTCCTTTTAAACGTCCTCACCTGATGCGTCTCTGCTGGGCTCCTGTGGTTCTCCCCTCAGTGCCGTCTCTTCGTCTCTCCGTCGGTGGGATTTTACTCTCTTTTCTGCAACCTGCAGGATCACAGAGCAGAAACTACAATGAATCACTGCACAATCATTTTTGTTTATACAACGTTGATCTTGTGGCAGCTGAAAAGCCGCTTTTGTTCCCTCTGAAAGAACCCTGCGAGGCTCACCTTGATTTGCAGCGTTTGCAGTTGCAGACTCTGCTTTTCCAGTTTGTCTTGTTGCTGCTTGATTTTCTCCACCAGCTGATCGATGCGTCTGCTCTGCGCCGCCATCAGTCTCTGGAAAAACACCATGTCTCGTCAGCTTCACAGCTTCCTTGTGTTTTCGGGGCTAAAGCTTAGCTTGAAACATAATATCCAACACGGAGGTGGTTACACGGGAAACAATTGCACAGGAGAACTACGAGCTCGTGTTTTGGAAATTCTGGAAAGCAGTAGAGAATTCCTTGTTTTCAGAATGTACCTCTGATCATATTTGGGTTTAGATTAGCTGATGAAACGACCTCTGAGGGGTGTGTGTCCAATGGTGACGACCTTTTACAAAATGTATTGGATTGTCTGTTTTCATTCTTTTGTTTCTTCTGGCGAGCTGAAACAACATTATAAAAGCAGTGTTGTTCTCCCTCTCACCTGTATAAATGGGACTCCTGTGTGATCGCTGTGGTTGCCGACCCGCGCTGGCCCTTTAAGAACCTCGTCCACCTTCTCCTCCAGTCTGTCCATCCTGCTGTGAACGTCGTCGCTCTGTGTCTTCGCCAGCTTCTCCCTCTCCTCCTCCACCCCTTTGTTTCTCGCCTCCAGGGTTTCATCTCGCTCCAGTTGCCTCCTCTCCATTTCAGCCACGGTGAAGTTGAAGGCCTTCAGCCTGGCGTTAACGTCCCTCATCTGGGCCTTGGTCTTGTCCACATGCTCCTTCAGGCCCTGGCCCAGCTGCAGCAGGCCGTGAGCCATCACGTTCATGTCCTCCCAGGCGGCCTTTTTGTCCCGGCCGGGCGCCGCTCTTCGGTCCGTGGGGAAGGCGACGGCTGCGTGCACCAAAATGGCCACCAGGAGGGTGAGATGCTGCGGCGTGTTCATCTTTGTGTCCGCTGAGAGTCTGTTTCAAGGGCCGACGCTGCTTTGGATGTCTGTGTCTGAGCTGGAATGCGAGGGTGTTTTATACCTCAGGCCGGCAGCGAAGGGCTCTTTTCTTTGGGTTCCAAAGGCGGGAGGCGGGAGGAACGAGGGGGGGGGGGGATCATGATGCAGATCATGATGCAATAAAAGGTTTTAGATTACTGATTAAATACTTTACATCTTCTAACATGTATTTCTTCTATCTGTGCGATTTGTAGTTTTTCAAGATATGTAGAGCTGTAGGTAACTTATGATGTTTTCTTATTGATTTATCTCCTGATTATTTTTTCTTAATCAACTGATTAAACCTCTTTAAAATATCCAAAACAGAAAAAAATACATCACAAGCATCAAATGGTCCATTATCATGGTCATGTGAGAACATGGAACCAGTACATATTTAGTGTTTTTGTTTGAATTATGACCCAGTAGATGCAAACTAATCCAGGTGATGTATTTTCTATGCAACATAATAATCCTGTAGATTCCATGATTATTACAGAAAATTCAAACAGATTAATTAAACTAATACAAAAAAATCCCTATGCGACATCCCAAACGGATAATAATTGTAATAAAACTACTAGCGTCTTCTACACTTATTCAAAGCTATTTAACACAATGAGGCTTTTATTATTTTGTTTAACTTAAAAAAACAACTTGTAATGGACAGACTTTACACAAAAAAAGACTCTAATAGATAAATATGGTCTTTTATCTCGAAGCGAGCGAAGCAGGCGAGTCGCTGGCCGTTCTCAGTACGAAGCGTTCAGGAATGCTGGATAGCATTCAAAGATGGAGCAGTCAGTGTGAGAAGTAGGGGAAAGTTCAGCCCTCAGGGCCTTTTACACACGCTGCCCCGACGAAAGGAATCCAACGCTCGCACGTGCAGACTGGAGGCGCGTGCAGCTTACTGACGAGGTGCAGATGTGTGACGGGATGCCAGACGGTGAGACAAACACGCCCAGCACGTGTGTGGTGGCTTTGTGACATTCATGGGAAAAGCCTTCTCTAAAAGACGTAGTTTGAAAGGGAACTCTTAAACTTAAAATGTGATGCACTACAAAGATTAGTTACAAACGTTCTGTGACTATATAAAAGTAATCTTACCAAAAGTGCCAAACATTTCTACTTTGGTTGAAAGGTCAGGATCTCCCAAGGATGAACAACTGAGATTTATCCTGTTTGAATGTTTGAACCAAATGTCATGACCATTCATCCAACAGTTCATCGTGGTTAAAGTTTAACTGCAGTCGCTGATAAATAGACTGTTGTTGTGGGATCAAACTAAATTATAATGGGAAGTAAAGTTTTTAAACTAACCTGTCTGTGCAGTCGTTAGTTACTCCCGACAAACCAGGAGGAGCTTTATTTGCTTTGCATGTTGCACAGTTACAAAGTACAGTAAGTGCAGCGAGAGACCAAATCAAATATTTAAACGAGTCTCAAACAGAAACCAGGACTCTGGAATTCTTTTGTTTGATTTTTTAATGCAGCCTCGCCGTCCGCTTCCTTGCGTTTGCTCTGTGATCCCGTGCACGTATTGTCCGGGCTGCAGGCTGCCGCCCTGCACGTACCCACGACCTCCCGCTCTCAGCTTACACGGGAGCCCCGGGACGTGTTGTAAAAACAGCTATTTCCTTTCAGTTGGAATAGATATTCGGGGGTTTGGAGACCAGAAGAAATGTTGATTATGTTGTCTGGATACTGCCAGCTACAAAACATTGTGTAGTTTAAAGAGATGCTTCTCAAAATATATAAAAAACTGTAGCTCCAATTGTGCCATCAATTAAAAGATTTTAAAAAATACTATGTAAACACTGAAACCAGGACAAAATATAATCTAGAGATTAAAGAAAGCTGCTACGTTCTGTCACGCTGAACTGAATAAAGTGCCGTTTATGAATAAATTAGTTCCCGTTTAAATCGTCCTGAAATGTAATTTGAGAGTTTGTCAATGTTCAAATGTCGACGTTTTCTGTCCCTTTTTGTCTCTTAGTTGATGACAGTAACAAACATATTACACACAGACTCTGTATCTGTGAGCGGCAGATAGTGTCGGATTATATTGTCCCTGAACATCAGATAACCGGATATCTGCAGAAGAACACATCCCACTTTGACACAAGTAGTCAATACAGTTTTCGTCCTGCGACACGTCCAGAAACAACCCCGAACAGCCTGGACGTCACTTTAACCGCGCCGATCACAACAACACAACATGTACCATCAGATCCGCGCACATGTACAGCACATGAGCGTCCAGCGAGGGCCGGGGGGGTGATGGGGGGGGGGGGTAGACCACGTCTTTCGGGCACCAGTGGGTCAGTGTGTGAAAGGTGAGGATGTAGTCATGTGTCTGGGGCGTTGCGTCAGCCTCTCGGAGGCAGAAACCGTTGCCCAACTGTGTTTGTGATCTGACGCACTCGGCCGGATCCCGTCTGAAGAGCTGGAGCCGGATCAGAATGTATTTTTAACTTTTGTTTTGACCTCGTCTTTATCAGTGACATTTTTAGAAAAATAAACACAGGCAATTCGCAGAAGCAGAAGACGAAGGAAACAAGACTACTGACAAAATAATTGTCAAAACTTTCAGAGGCTGATTCGAGCTGTTTCACTTCGAGCCTTTAATGGATGTAATGTGGTTAGAAGCAGTTGCGCTGATTAAATGCGTAAATTACATTGTTCTTGTAGGTTAGTAGTCTTGTATCCATCGTCCTCATACCACTCATAAAAGCTAAGGGGAGTATTTGCCGTTATTTCAATACCTAGTAAGACAATTGGATTTGATCTTTAATTGTGTGTGCATTGAAATGTTCAATCTGTATTTTTAACCAAAGGACATAAATCAGCCGAATCCTGTAAAGAAGTTATTTTATTTGGTTCATAGTGGTATTTGGTTTGGTTTAAGTCTTCAGGTTGGTTTTCCACACATGGGAGACAGCTCAGTTCTTTTGGCACAGAAGCAAAGTGTGTGAAAGGTAACGCTTCTCTCAGTCTCATAACTTTGGGTTCATAAAAAAAAAAGCATTCTTGGCCCATTCACACGCATCGCTCGCCGACCTTTTACCCAGTTTAGCGCCCCAGCATCTGTATCCTGGTTTTCTCTCTCGCTTTGGGACCAGTTGCCTTCCTCTTTTTTTCTCTCTTTTTTTTACAACCCGATTCTCTTGTTTGCACTTTAACCTAGAAAGCAGCGTTGTTTCCCCGAGGCTTCCACTTCTTCATCAAAGAGTAAAACAGAGCCGAAGGCATGAAAGGTAAAAACCTTAATGGGGTTTTTACCTTCTAGTACCTTAAAGTTACACTTTCTGCTGCACAATCCATACAACCACTGTTTTGCTTTTAGCTCATTTCAAGTCAAACCTTTTATGAGAATGAGATATTTATGTGATGTAATGATGGCGATGCCATGTCCACTACTTTGGTCCAGTTTGAAATATCTCAACTATTTCAATGATCACCTCAAAAAGTCTCATTTAGTCCGTCATGATACCCTGAGGAAGAATTTAATGGATTCTTTTGAATTTTTCTTTAGAGACACCGACACATCAAAGTTATTACTTGAATTACATGAATGAGAATAAAATGTTAAAAGATTGATGTTACTTAAAAGAACTTGCAACCTTTTAAAAGCCAATCAGGACATTAAGTGTGTGCTGTCTATAATAAATAAATGAAGAAATGTGCTGGTTTCTCATTGATCAACATGAATAACTTGAGCACCAAATGTACATTTGACTCTTTTCTAAACTGATTGTTCAACTATTAACCAGATATTAACCTTTTGCTTCAGTCCAGAAAGTTGCTGACGTCGGGCTTCACTGGTTCGCTGCATCACATTACTTAACAAGCTCGGCCGTGACCTCTGCTGTAAGAAGGTCAAATGCCTTCTCTTACACAGTTCACCTTTCACCCAGAAAGCAGTCGGAGCGCTTGCGGTGTGAAAAAAATGAAGAGAATAAATCACAATAACTGCAGATCTCTTATTGTGTTTGTTTTCAGTTATTATTCTTTGCTTTATTGTATTTATGTTTTGTAATCGTTGAATTTTGGGAAAATAATCCAAATTGGTTTTTAAACATGACTAGAATGTTAGAGAGCACACTTATTTTTGGGTCTTCTTTGCAAGACCTCTCATCCCCGTCCTGTTGGGTGGGGGGGCGTCGACGCACAGCCACTTTCACATCTCTGCAGAGACGTTCGATCGGGTTCAAAAGCTCCATCTGGGCCCGGAGAGCCACGCCTCTGTTATCTTGGCTGTGTGCTTGGTGTTGTGGTCTTGTTGGAAGATGAACCTTTGCCCCGGTCTGAAGTCCAGAGCGCTCTGGAGCAAGTTTTCATCAAGCGTGTCTTTGTACATTGCCGCATTCATCCAAGCTCGGTCCCCCAGTTCGTCCCGCTGAAAAACATCCCCAGGGCATCAGATAAGATAATCTTTTATTAGCAGTGGGGAGATTCACAAGGTTACAGCAGAAAAGCTTAAAGTGCAAACAGACATTGTTCATGAATCCACAATAACATGAATACGATACATGCAGGCAGATGTTGGATGCTTCCCTGCAGGGACGGTATTCAATTCAATTCATTTTATTTTGTATAGCCCCAAATCGCAAATGACAAATTAGCCTCAGAGGGCTTTAAAGTCTGGACACATGTGACATCCTCTGTTCTGAAAACCCTCTAATCGGAACAGGAAAAAAATGACAAACATGGGGAAGAAATCTTAGGGAGAACGTCAGAGGAGGATCCCTCTCCCGGGATGGACAGACTACAATGGATGGTGTGTTCAGAATGAACAATGAGTGATGAGTGTCATGACGCTTGGCATTCAGGACAAAGACTTCAATGTTTGTTTCATCAGACCAGAGAATGTTGTTTCTCGTGGTGTGAAAGTCCTCCACTCTACCATACAGGCCTGCACCTTCTGGAAGGTTCTCTTCTCTTCACACAGCAACGCTGGAGTGACCGTTGGGGGTTAATAATACAAAGAATATACAAATCTTAACTTGTTTTTCTGACACAAGAAGAAGCTCATTTCCCTTCTCAGAAGCTTTGAAACCAAATCAAAATGTGTTACTTCTTCCTGTTGGGCCTCGCCTGGACTCTTCTTCTGGTCTGCAGTAAAGAAAACATGTTTTGCTGCCAGCGTCTGGACTTTGACTTGTATTCAAAGAACGCGAAGGAACGGTTTCCTCCCACATCCATCCTGTCGGTGCCCTTCACCGCTCAGCGGGAAGATTCCATGTGTGTGTACAAAGGTTTCTACAAAGTTACCGCCACAGAATGAAGGTCAAAGTTCAATACCTTCCCGCTTTGTCAACTTAAACAAATTTAGTAAACAAAAAATCCCCTTGCCTCATTTTATTTGTTGTCATGGCGACGTGACATCTGGCAGCCCACTCCCACTCCGCAACCATTTACCAGGTGACGTCAGTTGAGTCCCTGAGGGTTCTGGGCTCATGGCTCAGAGTGGAGTCCGGGATCGGGCCTGAAAGGGCCCCATTGTTGAGTCACCAGACGAGAGGACATGTCACCTGAACTTCTTGTTTCCTTTCCGATACAACGCATTAAATCTGGATGCATGTAGACAGATGAATTCCCACCATCTGAAGTTGAATATATAGTTTATGGGACTTGGAACTAACAACACAAAAACATTTACATGAGAGGTGCAGCCTTCAAGCGCTGCAGGATTCTGAGAACATAGACACAGAAATAAAGGTGTCGGCTGTGAGCGGAGTTCTGTAAATGGTCAAGATAAGAACGCAGACACTATCTACACTGACTATAAATCCCCGGTGTGATTCACAATTGTTTTTTCCTTGTTTTAAGTGTGTAGATTAGGGCAAGGAAATATAACTAAAATCCAAGAGAAGATTTTGATTTTGAGCTTAACATTTTTCTACAAGAAAGAGTCTTTTTCCAATATTTTGTAGTGCAGGATGTTGATTTTCATTTAAATTGATTACTTTGAATAGAATAATATTTGGAACTATTTCTGTAGTATTTTGTCCTGTCATTTTAGTCATAACTAAGGAACTAAGGACCTTGGATGATGCCGACCCGCAGACTGACCCAGCAGCATTTTCTATGGTGTTCCACCAGGACTTGGTGTTTTAATGTGGATTTTCTTACTATTGATTCTGGGGGTGTGGAATTTTATTCACATTTACCACCAAATCAAACGGTATCAGCCTAAACATTGCTGCGCCAACGTTTTAGACATGAGCATTGCATGTCACTTCCATCAAAATTTTCCAGGCCTAAATTTTGTCACAATTTATTTCAATTGATTATTACCAATAAAATCCCAATGTGACATATATACATAATAAATCCTATAATCTAAATAAAGGTTCATAAGTTTAATTGAAGGTGTGATCTAAACATGAGCCTCATTGAATTCTTAAAAGATAAACCGCTTCAGCGGATGTGGAGACTGAACCTAAAAAAACCTCCCTGTTTCATAATCACTGAATATAATAATATCGTAGCATTAAATTTAAACATTCAAATAAGGTAAAATGATGACTTCCTTACCTTTTCATATCGTGGACAGTTTAGTCGGTTGCAAAATCCTCTGACTGCCTTCAAACTGAAACACAACAGCGCCCTCGCCTGCTTGGTGGCAGATATTGAAGTTTCTAATGTTTTGTGGTTTTAGTCTCAGCGGTTTCTTTCGTTACAAACAAATGTGGTTTCGTCTCTGGCTGTGACGGGGTTAACGCATCTAAACTACTGCGTGAGCACTGGTGGAATCACATCGACTTTAGATAGTTTTTACTGAAAACCGGACAGGTTAAAAAAACAGGACATGTTAACTGGGTTTGGAGCATATTGATTATTTCTACATTAATAGTGTGTAAACGCTATTATAAAAATTGGCAGATTGCTGTTGCGAGTATGAAGACACGTAACATTTTGCCACCAAACTAATGAACAAGTCCTGCCCCTGTGACGTCACCAGCCAGGCCCCGTGTTTATCGTCCCCGATTGACGGGTTCAGCTGTCTGTCATTGATTTCTTCAGCCGTGATCAGCGGCAAACCAACTGCTGACTTAAGAAAGCTGGTCAAAATCAACAGTTACACAGGAAATGACTAATTCAAACGTGACCCTGCCTTCAAAACAAAAGCAGATGGTTGGTAAATCAAAAATAATGCTAAAAGGCAGCGTGTTGTAACGTACATATTTCACACTCAGCCTAACCATTGGTCTAGTTGCCATTTCATTGCCATATTTGTCAGGCTAATATAACATCATTGGGGATGTATTCAATGCAATTGTGTAACTTAGATATACAAACATATCGACTGTTTCACATGAGTTGTCCTCTGCTTTAAACCCATGCTAGTTGGAGCAGTGGGTACTATGCCAGTGAAGAGCACCCAGAGGGTCTGGTGTATTGCACAAACTATGCAGTTTAATCATATGCTGTTTTTTCAAAGTTGTTTTTTGTGGTTAACATGTGTTTTTTTCAATTGGTCCTGCCGTCTAGGCAATAAAAGGTATCACTTCAAAAATAGTTGTGTCTCTTTCTTTTTTTAGCAAATTTCACTACTACCAGGGTTTGGTACGCCAAAAATGTTTTTTTACTGTGATGAAATTGGTGTTTTATTTTTAGACCCCAAGCCGGAAGCCCCATTTTATACATTGTTTAACTTGACACCAGTCAGATGGGTAGGAGTTTTTTTTCTTCTTTTCCATCTTCTCCTCCCAAACTTTCCTCAGCCAGTCTCGAAAGTCATGACAAGTCGCAGTGAGACTGGAGCGAGAGACGGCAGAAGGTAGGAAGCAGTCCGAGGGATCGATTACCACACGCGATCCCGGTACGTGGTGATCAGCTGGTTATTGCCAAACTCCGTGAACGAACACACCACGGTTTGCTCAGCTTCTTCTAGTCATTGGGAGCCTCAATGTGTTGCGCTGCATTAGTGTCACAAGTGCGTGTTTGCTGCAGTAAATCTGTGTTTTCATGCTCCTGTAATATTTTGCTGGACTTTTAGTGTTTAAAAAGTTTTAAAAAATGTTTGCATTTTCAACTTTCCAGCAATGTAGCTGAAATCCTATAATTTCCAATAGAGACCTTTTAAGTCATTACGTCTTATTGCGTTTTATAGGTGTATACGTATTTCTATTACCACTATTACTCAGCTTTTTCTGTTTCTTTTTCTCTGCCTGGCTCCCATTGAGGGACTTTTCCCAAAGAGCTTCATTAATGAAGTTTGTGTGCTTTGCTAGACAAGCTGAACAAATATCTTCCAGACGTAATCGTGGGTGAGGCTGCTTCACGGGATGGAAACTCACTCCCTTCCTCGTTTGTCGGATGTGTTGGACCCTAGTTGGTAGAAACCAAAGAAATTGCTTAAGGACAGTTAAACTCTTAAGTTGCGTTCATTGGGATGAACCCAAACCCAACTCTACTACTTCTGGATGTATAAGTGAGCAGCTATTCGCCATCAGGCTCATCCTGTGCAGCCTGAAGAGTGATGATCTGTCAATGCTGTGTTCAAAACTTGCTTTCGCTGGCTAATTTCTCAAATTGATAACAAGGCGACGACCTGCTGTACAAACTCGACATGAGCAAGCAGAGGCTTTGAGGGAATGTTTATCGGCTTTCTAAACTGTCTTTCTGCAACAGGACTCTGGAGTCTGACTTACTGCTGTCACCTCAAAAATAGATTGTAAGTGTAGCAGGAGACTGCAGGAGGTCAGTGGTACACGTGGATATTCTGGATATCCCCTCTTTTGCTCCTGTAATGATTTGCCATTTTTTATACACACTCCCCAGTTTGCTTACACCTAAGAATAGAGGGAGGATCATTTAAACTGAATTAGACTTCGCTGTGTTTGTGCTCTCGCTCACGAGCTTGATAAGATGCATGCCGTCGTATTTTTAGCTCTATTACGAGTGGTTTTATTTCAGCGCCTCCAGACTGCGTAACTCTGCACGGGAGTGACATGTTGAGCGAAGAGAAAGCTGGACTTAAGATGACAGGACGCTAAAGTAGGTAATCCAGTAAATTTGCAATTCCACCTTGTGCATTTGACATTTGACTTGAGTTGCATTACGGGTACACGCATTTTTCTCTGCCTCATTCAACACATTAATTGACCCTTTCTTAGTTCAGCAACAACGTAACGCTGTAATATTATATCCTTTGAATCTGATCTTCGCATCGCCGTGCTCAGGACCTTCTTCCTGTTTTGGTATTTCCAGACAAACCAGGTTGCTAAACATGAACGTACTGGCCTGACCATCGCGAGGCTGCTTTTCAGGTAGTGTGGCCTGCGTGGTGAAGTTGATCTTCAGAGCTTTAAGTGGGCATTCAGGCGTGTTGTTGTGATGAAGCACTTTTAGTAACGCATACACTTGCTTCAGGGCTCATCAGAGGAGCTGTCACAACATCTGGTAACGCCTGCAGAGATCTCACGGCGGCAGCTATTTTATCTTCTGTGACAACCGTCCCAAAGTAAACCAGCTGAATGCGTATCTGATGCGTCCGAGTAGCGCCAGGATTGTGCGCTTACGGGGAGCCAATGCAGGATTTGGCGAGATGACATTGTGTTCCTTTGCCAGTTAATGAGTCACAGTACTTTTATTCAATCTACTTAATTTGAATATTTCCGTTTCATGCTGCAAATGCAACCGATTACCACAGATTTAAATAACATCAATTCCTGGAGAACTTTAGACAAATGAATTTTCTGCTCGATGCGGTTTGTTTACCTTTTGGTTCAAGCTCTTATTTTTTTTAAATTTATTTTTCTAAGGCAACAATCAGTGTTGGAGCAGTGTGGAACCGGAGAGCCGGAGCCTTCATCATAATTAGCAAGGATCCGGGCTTTGGAAATGGAAATGACCACTTTGAGCTTCATGCGGGTCCCTCTGATTGGAGTGGCTTTACAAATTGTCCTTGAAAGGGGAGAAGCCTTTCAGGAGTTTTGTGTGCAGCAGCAGGGAGTTTTCTGCATGTAGCTTTAGCTTCACGAGGGAGAGATTTATCCTGACTTTGCTGTTTGCAGACGTATATTTTACAACAATGCTAGCTGACTTTCAGTCGCGCAGGACGTATAGAACAATTTCAAGACACGAACACGGTAGAATGTTGGATTAGTCTCAAGATGGCACTAATGAAGCCTTAAAACAACTTGAAGAACACTGAAGATGACGGATTTGTGGTTTGGGAGGAATGTAACTTTAATTCAATCATGTTGCGTGATTATCTCTTCTAATCAAGTCGGTGCTCTTGGCCTTTTGAATAAATCAACTCAAGTCTCTTATATCATTCTAAACAGCTAATAGAATTGAACCGTCTCCTGAGTGAAAATCAGACGCTGGAAAACTTGATTATCTTGCAAAGGAGAACCGCGTCGGTCGTAATCCTGAGTAAATAGTTTGATCTGTTGAGGAAACTTCAGGACCTTTTTAAACATGAATAGGAGCACTTCTCTCGCTTGAGGCTCTGGATTTACTATCTCATTCTCAAGTTGTTGTAACATCATGAAACTCCATCATGAAAAAGTCATAATAGTCTCCTGGAACCGCTGGGAACAGCAGTTTGTAAATGAACCTTATTGGAACACAAGTAAATGGTGCATTCCTTGAGTAAGACTTTCAGTTGCAGATAAACAGACAAAACGTGCCTCAGATTTAGGCTACACAGACCTTCACTGGGAGAAATTCATTGTTTAATCAATATAATTTGTTACGTACTATCATGAGGTTGCAAATGACTACACGAGTAACAATGACTTTGAAACCTTCTAGAATAATAGGACAGTGGTATTAAAAGGTTTGTGCGTGTATATAAAGATACCAAAATTCCCGTACTTGTGCAGACGCTGTTGGGAAAGCAGAAGCACGTATATCAGGCAAAAGCTGCATTTTGATCCATCCGGTGAATCTGTTTGGTCGAGGCCACAAACGTGGCTTACAGGCTGTGACGCTGTGATTCTTGTCCCCAAAAGGCCTTTTGGGGGGGAACGCAGTGAGAACGTGCCACACTGGTTTGAGCTGACCACTCGCCTCCGTGGAAGAATCAAACCACGGCTTCCTGCAAGTCGCTGTGATGCCGTGAACATTTAGGGTCAAACAATGAACGTTTTTGTCCGCTACTGAAGGGAAAGAGAGCGAGGGAGGAGGTTGTTGTTGACCTCAAACTTTCTCTAAAGATGTCGCAAGATTTCAAATGTGATATCTGAGAAAACCTCTGCGAGGGCGCGTGGAGAAAGAGTCCTTGGACTCCAGTTTAAAGCGTGTTTCTCAGCACAGAGATCACGTCTGTTCGCTGGCTCATAGGAGGAGATGTTGGGCCCCATGAAGTCATTCAGAGGGGCTGAGCGACACTGACATGCAGCCACATGAGATGAAAACTTCTTCTGTGTACCCTCATCTTGTTCTTCTGTCTTTTTGAAAATACTTTAACATTTTTAATCTCCGGTCACCTTTTTTTTTTTTTTTTTATTACAACTTTATGAATAGCAGTCATTCTGTAAAGCATCTTATGTTAGAAAAAAAGAAAATCCTACACCTTTTACAGCAATTACAAATAATTACCTCTTTGGGAATCCATGTTGCAAAACATTTCTGTGGCTGCTTTGTCAAAACGGGACGAGTTTCTCACTGTTTAATAAGCAAGTTGTTCTTTTAAAGAAGTTCAGACGGTCCGTTGGAAAGTCTAAACCAGAGGAGCCTGATGTACTTAAAACTTGCTTTAAACTCATCTAATCAATTATCATCCTTTCTTAACTTTATTTCTTTTCTTTTCTTTACTTTTTAGGAAGCTGAGCCAAAATATTGAACAACAGTCCAATAAAACGTCCGTAGTGGAGATCGCTGTGCAGATTGTCTCGTGGCGGCGTTGTGCTCCGTTATGTTTCGTAATGTCTGGCATTCATCAGATGGCCTCTCACAAGTAGTGAGCATCCCAAACTTGAGAAGCTCACTGAATCCGTGCCTGCTTGAAACCCCCCCCCCCTGAATTAAAGTGTTTTGCACAGGAGCAGCTCCGTGGTGATAAAGGTGCGTTTGCAGCAGCTTTGGGAGACATTTCAAAGACCTGCGTGCACCGGGTGCCTTGTCATTACCCCGATGCTCCGCATCAAAGAGATGCTCAACTGGTATAATTTCCACCAGTGAAGGAAACGACTTGATGATATACACACATTTCCCTTGTTTCTGGGCAGAACGCGGCTGACATCTGGTCCCGGGCTGTAGTTATGAGAATCAAACATCTGGAGACTCCAGTTGCTACTGTTGTCAAAGAGAAGAAATGTTGATATCACCTCAGACAGACTTTACAGATGCATTGAGCTGCAAGTTCTCCATCTAAAAATATAAGATTCTTTTTGTTAAACAGGCATAGAGAGAATAGAGTCTTTTCTTGCTGTTTAAAAAAGAAAAAGCAGCTTCTGCAAAGGTTCGGTTTGTCTGGTTGGGGAAAAAGGAGAGTTTCCACAGACAGACAACAGGGGGATTTGGTCCAAAAGGCAACGTGACGTCAGACCTTTACTCTGGCTAATTGGGGAAAACTTGATTTGTGAACGTTGCTTTGTTTAAGGGGTCGGGTATGAGGAAGAGGGGGGTCGGCAGGGGTCGGGGGGGGGGAAGCCATGGGACTCGTCTCAGCTGACCGGATGCTGCTGTTGCAGCTGCTGAGATGATGAGCAGCTCTTCAAGCTGACGCTCACACCATTAGTGCCAGCAAGAAAAAACACATCATTTTGCTCTTCCAAGAATTCTTTAATATGCAGCCGGGTTGTTTGGTTCTGCAGTCGTCCGTATTTTCTTCTTTCTGGATGGAAAACCACAATGCTGTTTTCACAA